TCAGTAGGGGGATATAGCACATTGGCTCAGCCTCTGGGCAGGTGCCTGGTGGGTTGTAGGTTTTAGTCCCTGGTTTAGAGGCTGCTGCTCTGCCTTGAGTGAAGTACTTTACCCCAGTGTCTGCAGCCCAACCACCTGTATGAGTGTGCACTGCTGGTGGGTAATTCCTGGAATATCTCATCCCATCCAATGAGAGTCACATGGTTTCTTGACTGCTTATCACTAGGGAAACCATGATAAACCTTGTGTGGCCTAGATATGAAAATGACTTTATACATGTATAATCAGTGTAGCTACAATATATGTTTCTTTATCTATTTATATATAGTATGTGCTGCTAATACTTAAAATCCTTTATACAGTGTACTTTTGAAATGTAGATTTATTTAGTTTTTATTTATTGTTTAAAAGACACTGGCACTTTCATCAAGGGAGAACTCGGAAAACAGACTGAAGGAAATTATTTTGCATTATCTTTTTACACCACTAGAACAAAACAAAGCATTGTCCCTGATCTACAGTTTCTGCACAGGCTCGTGCACAGCAGGTCTCTGAGGCCTCTGCATGCAGGTGATGGTGAAGGGGAACTGCAACTCTATTTTTATACAAAAAGCAATCTGGAAAAAAAGCGTGGAGCCTTCTATTATTAGAACTCTAATAGCACAGCATTGTCAAAGTGATTTCTAAGCAAGGTCCTGAAAGTAAAGGCTCGTGTAAGCTAATCTAGACGCTGTACATACCTAGAGCTGTACATGGGCGGGATCACAATGGAGTGGTCTGCTTTGATTGGTCCTGGTTTTGCTGCTCTCCCATTGGTTGACCTCCCTACCTGAGGGGCTTGAGGGGGAGGAGCCTGCTTCGCAGCGGCGCTGTCAATAAACGGCATCACCTCAGTATTTTATCATCAGTCTAGTCTCATACAGAAGTATTTAACACAGAAATATTGTTCTCAAAATGCATTGGAATTGGAGATCCTATTGGATACATGGTTGGAGCAGGTAGCCTAGGAAGAAAATTCTGGTTAGATCAGAAGCCTGTTACTAAATTAGATGTACATGTAACTCTTAAAGAATTAGCAAAATTATTAACAGAAAACAATATTTTACATATTGTGGCATTAAAATACTATAGTCCCGTGCACACTCTCATACTGGAATACATCTAACAGGATATATTTAGTCAGATATATTAAGCTTGTCGGAGTGACTGAGGAAATAGGGGGCTGAAAAGGCGATGTAATGACCTCTGACCTCCCCCCCCGTGACTGGTGCGCTGGGCTAGCGGACAGGCCATCGATCGGCCGGTTTGACAGAAAGGTCAGAGTGTTTGTGCAAGGCGGAGAAGGTCACCTGGGATTTGGGAATGCCACGGAAATCCCAGAATCGGCCTCGCTGTCAGACGCGGACAGCCCTGCAGAGAGGGGAAAGGACAGACGCAGAGCAGTTGGGGCTCCCAGGGGAGAAGTGGAAGATGCACGGCACGCTTCTCTCGGCTCGGACTAGAGCTGCTCGCTGTCGCCTTTCTACCTGTCCAGCTCTGACGTTAACCCCCCCCCAAGCAGAACAGGGTCTCAGACCTTCTCTTTCTGCAAGCTTTTCACTGCACTGGAAGCATTTATCTGATCTTAAACACTGCGATTGACTCTCTTTTCAAGAATGACGTTTTTATAGCCTGTGTTTTGTTTGATTCTTGACACTTTTTGAAATGGCAGAAACTCTAGAATGTGTTTTTTTTGTTATATTTTACCGGGAGGTTTTTCATTTGATTCGTCTGTGTTGCACAGAACAAGTGGGCTGTCCATCTGACTGGCCCCTTTAATTGCGTTGAGTGTGTGTGATATACATGCCTTTAAAGCAGGGCCCAGTCCGGGTGACCCCCACACTTTCCGGTCCAGCCCACCTTCATCAGATAATTGAGATCTTATTTGATCTAAGAAGCGGCTTCAGTTGAATATTTGGATTTTGTTTCCGGTCACAAGTTTGGGATTTGAATGCAGTGGTTATAGTCCAACACGTGTAAGAGCTGGGACGGAGCAGTTCGGATGAATCTCGTGATTATTATTTTGACGTCAGTGCAGGGTTTGATTGTGGGACCGAGGGCTTGGCTGGCACGTGAACCAGCAGGTGTGTGGGTCGCCAGCACCCGGAGCTGGGAGCCGCTGGTCTGAATAAACGCGCAGGCGAGTGAAGGGATTGCGCAAACTGGGAGAAGGCAGGGGTCTAGTATCTCACGGATTCTGGGGGTCTCCTCTTGGACGATCCGGGCCGAGTCGGGCCGGAGCTCCAGTTTGGGTTTGTTGGGCAGCAGCTCTCCCCCAACCGAACGCAGCACCCTGGAAGACAGAGGAGGCGGGGGACCGGGGGCACCCCTGGGGCAGGGGTCAGCGGGGCGGCTCTGGGCCGACCCCGGGCGCCACGGGCTGGGGGGCTCAGGGGGCGTCAGCCGGGGGTCCAGCCGGAGCCTGTGCCGCAGAGCGACCCGGTTCTGTTCCACGCGCTGGGCCAGAGTGGGCAGCCGCATGGGCCCGCTGGGGAGACCGGGCTGTCCCCCGAGCGGAGGCGCCACGACCCGGTTCTCCTTGACGACGCGGGGTCCGCCGCTCAGCGGCGCCCCCCTCGGGCCCCCCCTCGGCCTGGTCTTTTCGTCCCCCACCTTGAGGAGGAGGGTGCCGGTGCCCTGCCTGCCGGGGAGCAGGCGGGTCGGGCCGGGGCGCTCAGGAAACACCCCAGGCTTGGGGGCCAGCCCGGGCCCGAGGGCGGGCAGTCTCTGAACGGGGGTGGCGGCGTTCTCCCGGCCCAGGCTGGGGGCCAGGGCGAAGGTCTGGGGGTACTTCTTGCGCAGGCGGTCGTAGAAGCCGTCGAGACCGCCCTGCACCGGCTGCGGGTCCGATGTCTCCAGAACCATGGCGGCTCCACCCTTCCCATGGGGCTCCCCGCCGCGCGGCCCGGGGTCTCTTCCTGTCCCTCCCGCCGGCCGCGGACCGCAGAGCGAGAGGGAGGAGTGCGGAGAGGCTGGCTGGGACGAGGGAGAGGGAGGGAGGGGAAGAAGGAGGGAGAGAGAGAGCGAGCAGGAGAGGGAGGGGAAGATGGAGGGTGCAGACGCTGACGAAGGGCTGTTTGGGAAGTGTTGATTCCCAGCCCGTTTGCTGTGCTGTCTTGTGAATCTAACGAGGAGCAGGAAGAGAGAGAGGGGAGCAGATGAGATATGGGGCAGACCGGCGACCCAGGGCCAGCAGCAGTCCCGCTGCGCACATTAATTCATACATTACACAGTAATTAGGGCATTTCTGTAAGGCTTTTACTTAGGCCTGAATTACAGAAGGGTTGGGTCTGTATACATTCCTACAGAGACAGGAGAGACACTGGAGAGACGCAATCAGTGCAGCTCACTAGGTGGGGTCTGAACACCCGTATTTCATCTCTGGCGTTGGCTACTCATTAGAATAGTTTTAACAATGCAATTACAAGAGCCGGACAGAAAGCACTGGGAGAGGCTGCTTTTAAAGGCGCTGTATACAATTATGTCATTTATTTATGATGGTGATGATTGGAAGAAGGTGAGCTTGGTTTACCTGCGTGACTCGGCCTTCACGCCGTCTGTCCGGGCAAGACCGTCTTCCTGGGCCACCCGCGCCCCCCCTTCAGCAGCGCGCGCGCGGCGGGGGGGTCCCCCGGGGGTCTGTCCGTGTCCCGGGCTCGCGAGCCGCTCCGAACTCCTTTGGAGTGACAGCTCCCGCGGCGGGGATTGTTGTAGCCCGTTGCCATGGCAGCCGCGCGGCAGGTACAGCCGGACGTTCTTAAAGGGCCAGGAGCGCCCTGGGGACGCAGGAGGTTCGGTTCGGTTCTTAAACGCGTCGTTAGACTTGAACCAGAAGCTGGCAGTTTGAACTCACACGTGCGTGCGGTGGGTATATAAAAATGGAGATGGATCACGACTGTTTCGAATATTCGCCGCGATCTTGCCTTATTTACAGGTCTTTCCGAATGGCACTGCGTGATCTGGGCAACCCTGTTCTGCAAGACCGGTCACTCAGAGTTCGGGGGAACGTAGCAGAGCTGGGCCTGTAGAGGAGCTTGTGTTACGTCCACATTCTAAAGCTGTGGTCAGTGGCCGTCTCTGCGTGAAAGGGAATCATGTTCGGTGTAAAGCTCGTCATGAACGGGACAGAAACTCCCGACTGCAGACCTGTGCCGGAGCGGCACGCCGGGAGTGCGGGGCTGCGCTGCGCCCCCTGGCGGCCAGTGCGGGCACGGCGCCCGCTGTGCGCGCTGCCGGGGGGAGACATGCGCAATGCGGAGGAGGAAACTGCGTGCAGAGCGTGATGACGGACGGGGCGCGTTAGGCAGGGGGAGGTGGGGAGGTCTGGGCGCGGGGCTTGCGGTGGGACCGTGCGCCAGTTGAAGGTGAGTTGCGCGCTGCTGTGCGGAGAAAGACGCCCTGCGGGAGAGGACGCGGTGCAGCCCGCACGCCCGGGCGACGTGTCGCAATGGGCCATCGCCAGCCCCGTCGCATCGGCTACGGTCTTGTGTTTTTCTGGACGCGCATTTCCTTGCTTTAAAACCACCTGCACGCCGCACACACGCCCGGTGATCGGCGTGTTTTTATCACAGACGGCGCCTCCCCGGCACCCACTGAGGTCCGGGCTCGACTGCATGAACAGTTAGGAGAATTTAATGAGCGCGGCTCAGAGAACCGTGTTCTCTTTTTAAAACGATTCGGTTCTTCACTGAAAACCATCAGCTCGCCTACGTTTGAAAGTCCGACCTGGAGCGACAAGAAACGCGTGTGAAATCTACCGCTCCGTCCGCTGCAGGCTTGCGGATCTGCGGCTCTCACAGGTTGGGAAGTTTCTTCCAGCGAAAGCCCGGGGACGTCCACTAGCTGATCGCGCTGAGTATGCTCACACCAGATCCCCGAGGGTCACAGACTGCACGAATAAAAATGAGAAAACGCGCGTTTTAGAGGCACCTCCCTGGTCTCACTGGAATTCTCTGCTCCAGGGCGAGGAGACCCCGCCTCCGGGCTGCGGGCTGCCGGAAGTCCTCCGCATTACGTCATTCTCGCACGCCAGCCGGCGGCGGTGGAGTCGCACGTTTTCGTGGGGAGTGAAGAGCCACGGTAAGTGTCAACGGGCGGTGTTTGTGTGTGTATATATATATGGGTCGGTCTGACTGAGGTAACGTTGTTGGGAGGAATTGCTTTGTTTGTTTAATGAGAGCCCGTAAATGCAGCAGGGAGTTGAACAGTCCAGTTTTTAGGAGTCTTGTCCTCGGTGTTTCGTACTGCCTTGTCCCCGCTCTGCTATATATAGACTTGAGTAAATTCCATGTAGAGGCAGCTGGCTCTCCAGATCAGTCCGAGGTGTGGAGAGATCTCGTTTCACCCGGCTGTCCTTCGGGCTCCTGCGCGCTGGAGTGGTGGGATTCATGGTGATTGTGATAAAGGTAGTCGGCAGCTTCGAGGACACAATCTGATGACTGAACCGACACGTTAGACTCGCCTTCTAGTAAGTGGGTGTGAAAAGTGGTGTCGTCCTTTAAGAAACAGAAGCTCGCACTTGGCCTGCAGATGGAGTGGTTAGCAAGCGGGCCTGTGTTCGTGAATGGCGGGGCTGTGATCGGGCCTTCGTGGTGTTTAGATCGCTCTTCCGGGGTCGTTTGCACACGGGGGGTTCAGTTCCAGGCCTGGGGTGCTCTCTGTGTGGAGTTGGTATATTCTCTCTGTGGCTGCATGGGTTTCCTCCCACAGTCCAAAGACATGCTGGCAGGTTCATGGGCTTCTGGGAAAACTGGCCCTGGCGTGAGTGTTTGTCCGTCTGCCCCCTGATGGACTGGCCTCCTGTCCAGGCTGGACCCTGTCTTGTGCCCGTTTCTTGCTTTGATGGGCTCCAGCTCTCTCACGACCCTGAACTGGATCAACCGGTTAGTCGATGGATGAAAATATAAGATGAGAGGAGACTTTATTGATCCCAAAGGGGAATTGAGGATATATGTAATAGGACTCGTTCATCCTAGGAAGCAGTGTGATATGTGGCTTGTCTGTGACGTCAGCCTCGGCCTGTTTCTGAAGCCCTTCTGTCTCACAGTGACCAGCCCTCTCGCTTTCTCCTTGTGAAGTACGACTGCGCCACCTCGCAGACACGTTCCCCGTCTCTCACTGTGCGTGCGTGTGTGTGTCCGTGACTGCACGGCAACATTTCCTTATGTAGAAAAAAGGAAAATGAGCTGCAGAGGGAGGGGAACGTGCTGAGGCAGCTGTGCCAGGCCTTGTGCCCTCTGACCTGTGCCCTCTGACCCCACACAGCCAGGATGGGAGATGTGGTGGAAGATGAGGTGCAGTTCTACACCAAGGCGGAGCGCTACTGGCAGGAGGTGCCGCCCACCGTGGACGGCATGCTGGGGGGCTACGGCAGCATTTCCACCATCGACATCAACAGCTCCAAGAAGTTCCTGAAGAGGTTCCTGGGGGTGAGTGCTGCTCGCAGGGCAGCTGAGGAACGACCGTGTGGGAGTGTATCTGAAGACGGCAACAGTGCCATATAATTGAGGAAATGCAACACTTTTTTTAGATTTAGAAAGAATCGGCCTTTCAAACCACAGTGAGGTCAAAATGCACACAGTAAGTTGTGAAACCCCCCAATTCACACCACAAAATAGCTGAAATCTTCAGCTTGTTCTTTGATGCAGAACGAGGCAACAAAACTTCCAGTGAGGCGACGTGGCCCTGTGACACTGTAAACAAGCAGGCGTGTGAATCCAGGTCGTTTAATCCGATAGAAATATCGCTCTCGGCTTCAAGATGGCTTTGCTGACAAATACTACTCAGTTGCTGACCCCCCCCACTGACGGCACCGGCGCTCTGTTCCCAGGAGGGGCAGGGGAAGACGGGCACGAGCTGCGCCCTGGACTGCGGCGCGGGCATCGGCCGCATCACCAAGCGCCTGCTGTTGCCGCTGTTCCGCGCGGTGGACATGGTGGACGTGACGCCCGAGTTCCTGGAGAAGGCGCGGGCCTACCTGGGCGAGGAGGGCAAGAGGGTGGACAACTACTACTGCTGCGGCCTGCAGGACTTCCAGCCCCAGCCCGGCCGCTACGACGTCATCTGGATCCAGTGGGTCATCGGTGAGCACCCCCCCACCCCCCACCCCAGAATTCCCTGCGCAGAATTAGCGCCTTGTTTGTGTAGAGGTCCTACTGAAGCAGGGAGACGGACGAGACCCCCGCTGTGCTTGACATGGCAGAGCACCTGCACGGCCGGGACCACCATTCCCCAAAATAATCACTGATGGTGCAAAGGAAGTCTTTATATAGGGTCTGTCTCTTAACCCAACAGTTAGGGTAACCGAGGGAGGTGGTTGTAAGTGCGGAGCGTTGCAGAGGCCCCTTTCCTGCATGTTCCTGCTTGTTCTCCAGAACTGGCCCTTTTTTTCGGCAACAGACTCGTTCCAGCCCTTCGCTGAGCTGTGCTGTGACATCCTGCAGCCCCGAACTTCCAAAGACAGGTCGTCAGTGCACCTCCTCCCATGCAGCTGCCGTGGGGAGTCCTGTTTCTGCAACTTAATTTTTATTATTTTTTTCCCTTCTTTCCATTTGGGGGAAAAGGGAAACCCACCCACCCCAAAAAAAGTTACAAAGGTTTCTGAAACGTCACAGGCAGCTCAGCTGGAGGCGAGGTGCATCAATTAACAACAGCACTGTGAGCTTGTAGTTCTGGGACAGCACATCCCTGGCTAAAACAGCCCCCCTCTCCCCCCTCCCCCCCGCGGCAGGTCACCTGACGGACGAGCACCTGGTGGGGTTCCTGCGGCGCTGCCGGGGCGGCCTGCGGCCGGGGGGGCTGATCGTGGTGAAGGACAACGTGGCGCACGAGGGCGTGATCCTGGACGAGGTGGACAGCAGCGTGTGCCGGGACCTGCCCACGCTGCGCGGCCTGATCCAGCGGGCCGGCCTGCAGGTGCTGAGGGAGGAGCGCCAGGAGAACTTCCCCAAGGACATCTACCCCGTCCAGACGCTGGCGCTCCGCTAGGACCGGCCCGGGGAGGGGTGAGGGGTGGGGGCAGTGCAGTCTGAGCCCCCGGCTGTTGGAAAGGTACTTCACCAGTGGCCCAGCTGTCAGTGTGCGTGTCTGTGCACCCACCTGTGTGTGTGTGTGAAGTGTGTTTAAGCACACACCAGAGTGTGTGCACGCCTCTGAGCACGTACCTGTGTGAGAGTCAGTCCGAAGGGCTGTGCGAGTGGCTCTCTCTGTGGGCTCAAGAGCTGTGGTTTACACCAGCAGCAGCTGTGGGGGGGGGCTGTGAGCGGTGGTTTACACCAGCAGCAGCTGTGGGAGGGGGGTGTGTCCCTGTTCTGCGTTGCGTACAGAGGACAGACTGGCGGCGTTGGACATGCTGGTCTGCCCGCAAGCAGAAACCTACGTGTTCAAAATGCTACAATTATGGGTTGTTTACAGCTGCTGTTGGGCACAGTTATTTTTCAGTTTTGTTGGGGGGGGGGTTTGATTACATAACTTATAGTGCCGAGTGTGTAAGGGGAAAAGTAGTAGCACCAGAGGCCAATTTTATTTTTCCTTGAAGCTGGAATTTAAAATAAAATAATTTTTTGTTTCTGTATTTGTCATCTAATTATTTTTGTGTGAAAACATAAAATTGGACTATTTTTAAGTGCTTACGGTGAAGGTGGGGACATTGATGTTTCGTCTTTAGTTTTATCTTTAGGAAACAAGTTCCAACAGGTAAATGCTTGCATTTTAAAAGATAAAAGTTCAAAATATACTTCCCAGTCTCAGCAACCTGCCCTTTTTAATCCAGTCGTGCAGGGTTTCAGGGTGCACGCCTGTGGGCTGGGGCACCGTCTCCTGCGCTGGAGATAGTGCCCACATCCCAGGCACGACGAGACGCCCAACAGGCTTGTACCCACAAGCCCACAATTCTGAACTTACATCCTCGCACACTTACCGGCCGTCTGCACACAGGCACACAACATTACAGCCAGCCCTACACAGAGACTGACAACAGTGCTGTCCGCGGTGGAAACAAGACAGGAGGCTCAGGCCAGAGTCACAGGCTCCCTGTTTATTCAACTCCCTGTGTGAGATAATGTGAAACTCGGGGGGGCCAGAGTAACCCTCCCCAACACCAGCAGCGTCCCCCTGTAAAACCAGGGCCCGATCCTGTCCTGTGCCTGCGAGCTTGCTGCTCCTGACGCCATGAGGAGAAACGGCGAACCAGGACCCTCCTGCAGATCGGAGGTCCTCAGCTTCCCCCCCCCCTCGGCCGAGTGAAGACGCCTCCGACGGCGAGTCGGTGTAGCTCCAGTACTCACGCTCACGGCCGGCCTCTCCCCGAGCGGTCAGCACTGCGGGGGAGAACGGTGAGGCCTGGGTCTTCAGTCCGTCCTGCAGGCTGACCCCCCCCCCCTCCCGGCGGTCAGCGCAGGGTGAGGCAGGGCCTGAAGCTGTCCTGGCCGGGCCGGGGGGCGTACTTGCGCTCGGGCAGCAGGTACTCCTTCAGCCTGTCGGGCAGGGGCAGGGCCTGCACCTTGCGCTCCAGGGGCCAGGGCTGCAGGAGGCAGCGGATCCGAGCCCGGCAGAGCTGCTGCAGCGCGGCCGGCGCGGCGCGGCGCTCCCGCAGGCGGCGGTACAGGCCCAGCACCTCCTCGGCGCGGGGGACGTAGGAGGACACGCAGACCTCGAAGCCGGGGGGCAGCGCGGGGGCGGGGGAGGAGGCCGTGGCCAGCTCCAGCAGGTACTCGGCCTTGGCCAGCAGGGTGGAGGCCGCGTCCCGGTCGCTCTGCCGCAGCGCCTCGCACAGCCGGTTGAAGGTCGGGCAGTAGCCCGTCCAGCAGGTGGCGCCGTGCCGGGAGCAGTGGAAGGCGGCGCCGCTCTGCAGCAGCAGCACGGCCAGCGGGTAGAGCAGATCGAAATGCTCCAGGCAGACCTGGGTCAGCGAGGGCTCGTAGGCCCAAACCTCCTCCTCTTCCTCCTCCCGGGCCCCCTCCTCCTCGCTGTGGGACAGGCAGCGGCTGGGGTCCGCCCCGTGGGCCAGCAGCAGGCGGGCCGCCTCCAGGCAGAAGTCCCCGATGGCGGCCGCGTCCTCCGCCGTCCCCTCCAGCGCCTCCGACACCAGGAACACCAGCTGTGACAGCACCGTCTCGCCCTCCTGCGTGGTGGCGCCCACGTCCGCGCCTGGGGAGATGGGGGAGAGAGAGAGAGAGCTCCGTCGCACAGCTCCTGGACAAAATCGAACGTCTTTCCTTCGGAAAAGCCCGCCGGCTGTGGGATCATGACCCCACCCTCCCCCTCCTGTGCCTACCTCTCTCCAGCAGCAGCCGGATGCTGTCAGTGTTGCACACGGTGACGCCATCGCTGCTGGCCAGCGCGTGGATGAGGGCCGTCTTGCCTACGCAGGACAGGAGACGAGATTGGAAATCGCTTCAACAGTTATCCCAAGGAGAACAGATTTTTTTTCCCCCCTCCCCTCCTTATTCATCCCCGTCCGAGAGAGAGGCCGAAGCTAACAAGTTTAAAGGGTGGGGACCCCCGGGCACTGCCTGCTCCAGGCTCCCCGAAGCGGGCTGCGATCGCGGGGACGGGGCAGGACACGGGCCGTACCGTTCTTGTCCTTGGCGTTGACGTCGGCCCCCAGGTCCAGCAGGACGCGCAGGCAGGACAGCCGCTCCCCCTCCTCGCTGGCCAGGTCCAGCGGGCTGCTCTCGTGGATCTGAGCGGAGGGAGAGAGAGAGAGAGGGCAGCCGGGCCTCAGTTCAGAACCGCAGTTCCCCCGCGGAGGCCCAGGGAGGTCGCCCAGGGGAGAGCGCTGCGTCCGCGCGTCACCTGTGGACGCGATGACGCGGCTACTGCTGCCCTCCGATCCGGGCAGGGAGCAGGGAAAAAGGGGGTTTGTCCGGGTGGTATCTCGCTAACGCAATGGGGGTCTTGCACTCTGAGGCCGGAAAACGGAGCTCAGTGCAGGTTTATTTTGTGCGTTGCTCATAGGCTGCAGTCCAAACGAACCGCCCTGGACAGTGAAGGCACACCCCCTCCCGTGTCTTACATACACTAAGGGCTCTTGTCATTCACAGCAGAAAAAAACTGGGTCCAATAAGGAAGAAACGGCACAATCACAAGGGAGGAATGGGTAACTCGGGTCCTTTTGAGTTTGACAGTATCTTTTTTTTAAAACAAAATCTCCAGCAGGTGCTAAGTGGAATAAAGCTCATCTGACATCTTATCCCAGTTGGTACAATTAAGCAAGCGGGATGGGTGGCGGAATGAAAACCAGGAGACCCCCCCCCCCTCCCGCGATCCTAGCCAGCGCCCCGCGTTCGGCTCCCTCACCCGGTCCCTCTTGTTGATGTCGGCTCCGTGCCCAGCCAGCAGCTCCACCATCCTGGGCTGGTTCCTCAACACCGCGATATGCAGAGGGTTGTAGTAATTGACAGGATCTGGAAAGAACAGAGCAGAACCGGCCCGGGTCAGCAAAGAGATAGAGAGCGGAGTCCCCAGGGATGATCTACAGGCCAATTCGGGTGGGGAGGGGACAACCACAGCCATGTGCTCCGATTTCCAGGAATGTGAGGTCCCGGAAATGGCAGGTTTAACACTTTCCAATCTTCGCAAAATAAAAAGTGACCGGCCCACCACCCCACCCCTCCCCTCACCTTCGAAGTTGAGGTCAGCTCCGTACTGCAGGAGGATCTCGGCGGCGCTGACCAGCCCCGTCTCGGCCACCTTGAAGAGCGCGCAGCTGACCCCTTCCTTGAACACCGCCGACTGGGCCTCGCTCTCCAGCAGCGCCGTCAGGGCGTCTCGGGGGGCCGGGCCGTCCGCGGGGGCAGGGTCACTGGGGCGGAGAGCCGCCGACGTTACAACACAACGCAGACAGCCTCTCGGGGGCACGACAGGCTCAGGCCTTCATGCTCTCTATTAGAACCAGGAGCCAGGAAGGTCTGAACTCATTTATGAGCCAATCTTTAACCAGTAACCGGCAGGCACAGACAGCAGGCACTGGGGCTGAACACCTCAGACTTGCAGTATTCTGCTCTCACCACGGTACCAATCCAGGTTCTGGACCGCCAGTGGATCCGTCTGGAGGATTTCATTCCAAGGTCATGACGGCCTCAATTCGCTCGTTAGTGGCTTAATTGGGCCAATTTAGTAACTTCTCTCCCAGTTCCCGGAGTGCCCGATGCTGTGAAGCCCCCCCAAGGATGAGAGCTGGAGGTTCCCCCCCCCCACCTTGATCCACAGTCTCACCTGTCCCGAGATTCCCGGCCCTCCTCCAGCCTCAGCACGCGGAGGACTGCGTCCACCAGCGACTGGTATTCGTAGGTGATCCTGCGGAAACCATGGAGAAAGGGCATGGCTGCTCCCGGCTCCCAGCCTCACGGCTCTGCACCCGGAAGCAGGAAACGGGGAAGCAGGTCTGTCACCCTGGAAGGAAAAAGGAAGGTCAGAGGTCAGGGGTTGTAGCTGTAGAGCCTGAACCAAGAGTACAGATGGGACACAGACCACCTGGACAGACATCTAACTGCACTGTGCAATGAAGAATATCAGACACTGCTGTACACATTCCTAAACACTCCACATCAAACCAAAAGAATAGGCATTCACTTGGCCACACAAAAACAAAATCAGCAATTTCACAAGTTAGCATCGAAATCAAAGCTAAAAACCACAAAAACCAACGCAAGAGAAAAATGGTTTGATCCTGAGCGCAAAAACAACAGAAAAGCACTACGAAAACTCAAAAGCACAGACAACCACACCGCACATCTGTGCCTCGGCTACTGTGAAATGGTAAAACATTACAAACACGCTGGAAAAGAAAAGAAACATACAGAAACAACTCGCAGAAATTGAGGAGCTATTAAATCAGAACTGCTTCTGGGAGAAGTGGAACACTTTAAACAAATGGAAATCAGAAGAACCGGCCATCCAAAATGGAAAATGTTGGCAAACACGCTGTTCAACATCGAGATCAGTAAGTTAGCAGGAATGTTGGAGAAGTCTGCAGCACCTGGTCTCACACTACATCACACAGAGATCAAGTTCCTGCTCTATGTAGATGACCTGGTCCTGGTGTCGCCCGAAGAACAGGGGCTACAGCAGAGCCTGGCACTGCTGGAGCAGGACTGTCAGACCTG